ATTTTATTATTTAAGGAGAAGGCCCGATTATCGCAAGAATTAGAAGTAGAATGCAATAAGAGGGCGACATTGGATGCGGAAGTAATAAAATTGCGTTCTCTTGTTGAAACTAGTGAGGCGAGTTTAGTTTATGAGAAAAATCTTGTCACACAACTTCAACAAGAAGTATCCCAACTCAAGGTATTCTTTTCAATACTACGTAGTTTTTTCTAGCAATATATGTTTAAAATCAAATAGAAAAGCATCAAAATCGTTTTATTAATTTTAGAACGAAATTTGTGGAGGCTGTAGCAGTTCAGAACAATCTATGCTGAATGGTCCACCCATATCAGACTCTCTTCAATCTGAGGTTAGTATCTATTAGTAAGAATTTATTTTATTATACTGTGCCTTTTTTTTCGGAAATACTAAATAGCTTTTGCTATATTTATAATAACAAAAAATTTTGTATAAAAACATTAAATATTGTGCAATGCTGCAAACACTGATGATACTAATCACGGAAAGATCTGCCAATAATTACTAATAAATAATCGCCTGAGTATTTTTCTTTTGTATGTATGATAACAATTAAGCAGAGCATTAAGAGAGAGTTGCGTATATAGATGTTATAAAATTAAGATATTCAAAAATTTTGACATTATAAAAACATAAATTATACTTTAAATATCCCAATCTTTTACAAGCATTACTATTTTGATTCTTGATAATCAAATCAATAAACAGAGAAGATAATTACATAATAATTTATTAGCTTATCTTAGATTTTGTACTAATTACAGAACTAAAAAGCTTAAATTTATTGAGAAAATTATTTCTGTAATTTATTTAAAATTCAAGTTATTGATTTCCATAATGTTATCTATAGATTACAATAAAAAACATATATATATGTGTGCTCAGTTATCTTTATTTAAAAAGTCATTTATACATATATTTAAATTTGATAAAATATTGATATAATCTTCGTCAGATTGAATTATATTTCAAACTGCAGTCTTTATACATTGCAGCCATCTAATCAACACAGTGATTAATTTGCTGATATTTCTGAAGTATTTTATTTAGGAAAGAATAATATTATTTTGTAATATATAAAAAAGATTCTATCTCTTATTGTTCAAAAAATTTTTAAAATATTGATTTAATTATATATCTTTATTAGCACTTTTATCACTGTGTTTCAAGAGTATTAGATAATTGGAATAGCAATTTTATAAATTTTTATTGATATATTTATTACATAAAAAAATAACGATTTGATAAATTGCTGTTTCCATAATTGATTCCTTTAAGCAATCAGATAATAATGTATCTGGAATGCAGCCTCCTCTAGCATCTCAGGCTCTGATAGCTGCATTAGAAAATACTCTGCTCAAGAATACAGAGTTTGCAAACTGTTCCGTAACCAAATCTGTCAATTTGGTTAATCAATCTGAACAAGAAATTGAGAACAACTCCCTTACTACAAAATATTCCTCCAAATCTTGTCATATGACAGATCACAATACACAGGCTAATTGGAACCCAATGATTGGCCAGCAACATAAAAAGCACAAGAAAAAGAGGAAGGTAAACCTAGCAGTCTGAGACAGAAAAAAAGTGTTACTGGCTCGATTATTGTAATAGGTGCACTTCAGTTGATTATTGAAATGTGAGACACATTTCTGAGGACTCAATATTACAAAGAATATATTATAACATTTTTACATGAGATTTATATATCTTCTGCAATTTTTGATACCATGAAAATAAGGTTTGTTATTATTATTTCAACAATTGAATTTAACATTAAAAATCTACTTTTTTTAATATATATTTTGTTTAATATTATAATTTTTAAATATATTTAATATATTTGTCCAATTTATATCTAAATACATGTTATAATAAATTAATACATAAATAAATGCTTATGTATTAATTTTTTTATATAATACATTTAAACAAGACAAGAACACATGAGAAATATTTTAAAAAATTAATAAAGATTTTAAGAAATAAATAAAGTTATGAAATATAAAATCATACTTTTGGTCATCATTATTTTTTGCAATATGTATATATTTTTACTTTTGACAAATATTCTTTGTGGTAATACTGAGTCTTCTATTATTATTTCTTTGCTATTATTAAAGCAATATTATTTTCGGTAGCTTGTATCTTGAAGCAGTACTTTATGGCGTAGATCGATTTTGTATACTTCAATTTATTATTTTATTATTGTGACTATCAGTAAAAAAGTGAAACTGTATATTCAAGTAGCATGTAATACAATATAGTAATTCTAAAAATTATGTAGGTGAAGATTGGTTTTGTAAACTTTGCACAACTTGCTCAACTTTTTTACATAAACATGTTATAATATACGTTATTTACATTTATATACTCATATCCGCCGCACAACATTTACTGCAACATGTATTTACATATACATGCTAGTGTTATATTAGCATCATTTTGTACAAGTATACGAAAATTAAATTTCTCTTTTTATATATACAAAAACATCATTTTTTTTCGTCGTTCTTCAAAATAAATAAGTACATTTATTTCACAGTCAGATATAATTGCTATAAATATGACAATGACGCTTTATAAAATAACTGCAAAACATATATATATTTGCAGCATTTTTCGATTATATGTCTACAATCTTTATCCTTTTATAATATCATATATATGTTGACAGAAGTATTTAATTTAATACTTTTTTTTTTTAATATTTTAAGCGACGATAACAATTTATAATTATAATGTGACAATGCTGAGTCGAATAAGTCGAATATAAGTTGACTAAGATTTATTTTTGGTTGATTAATGGATCATCCCTATTCTGTCCTAAATTTGAGTAAATGAAATTAGACATCGCGATTATAATGGTAATCTTTGTCCCAGTGTTTGTTTATTAAATTTAATTCTGACAAATGTAACGTTAATAATATGTAACTAATAACAGCTACAGATTATCGCAGTTGTATAATTCATAAAAAAAATAGCCTTGTTCAAATGCTTGCTCTGTAATCAATAACGATTTAACTGTTTTGATTGTTTCGACAGTCCACTAAGAAAACCATGGCAAAACGGCGCAGATTCGCAGGTATGCAAATCTAAAGATGAGATACTGAAATGTTTCCTCCTAGCCTTTCGGAAAATTTTAATAGTAGAACTATTGCTAGAAATTCATGTGTCAAGTTTTATCATGTATAATTATTTACAATAATTAATTTCTCATCACACATTCTATTGTGGCATTAACTTTTATATTTATATTTGTAATTGCACTATTTTTATTTTTGTATTTGCATATTTTTTTCTGTTATCATATAATACAGCAAAAATATTTACGATAATTTAATGTAATCTTTAATTATACTAGTGCATTGATATTATATTAGTAAAAATTAGATTCTAAATTGTTATCAATGACAAAAATGGAAATGTTATATTTAAAGTTGTATTATTTTCATAGATTAACTTTTTTAGACGAATAAATATAAGAAATGGCTAATGCAAATATTGCAATTTCATACAGTTATAAATATTTTAAAAACTATTTAAATCAGATAAAAATACATTAGATATATACATTAAATACATTGTTTATTAAAAAATAAAAGAAACATTGTTGTTACCATTATTAGAATAAATATATATGATATATATTACAAAATTTCATTTAATATATCACATAGTAAATGGTAGGCCATATTAATAGTACTGAGTTAGAGTTGGAGTTTATGTTTGTTATTTGGAACATATAGAACAAATTTTCTTTGATGCTTGATGTTGATAGAAGGTGGAAAATTAGTAAGACATCATATCCGATATATTATAATACATAGTTATGATTAATTATTAATTATAACTGTAATTAAATCTATTTTATATTTAAATTTGTTCTGCTTATAAAATTATAATAAAATCTTGTAAATATATATAATTGTTTATAACGATATAAAATATCGTATGAATTAATACATACAATATTTTATATTTTTTAAATGGTAGTATATGTTTATAAAGTTTTATATTTTGTCAATATATATTATATATTGTAGTTGGATATGTTCCAAAAACATGTTGTACAGTGGCTATTGTTGGCTTTATACCTTTTTAGTGACTATATTATTATGAATATTTTGCATCTCGTGTATTTCCGTACAATACGGCTAGAAAAAATAATTTCTCTATTCCCATCTTTAACCTCCGCCGATTATGACTTACAAAACTGACTGTTAAATCCATTATACATACGTAATGTATATAATTTTCAAACTAGAAAACCTAAATAACCTAATATACATTGCTTTTGTAAAAAAAAAGTATAAAAATTAGAAAATTGATTAGTAAATAGAGAAATATATATATAAATTTAGAAAAATAATGACAAATATATATGAAATCGATGTTTATAGAAATGTATAGTTTATATGTAAAAAAATTTTTATCAGCACAAACACTGGGGTAAAGGGTACATTACGCGCAAAAAACAACGTTAAATGATTAATCATTGTAACAGTCAATCATTATTTTTATAGCAACATTTAACATCTTATTGCTTTTAATTGCTATTGCTGTATAAAAATACATCATCCATTATTATTTTTTTTATAAATTTTACCAGCTTAAGGTTAATATAACTATATGAGATTGTTTAAAGACTACAATAAATGTTTGCCTTTTTTAGTCTTACATATATGTATATATATTTTTTAATTGAAATATTTTTCGTGTTCGCTTAATCGTAATATATCGCTTGATGAATAAAAAATGATCAAAGTCTATGGAATGCTACTAACAATATTGTACATGTTATGTATGTATGTGTTAGTCTGAAATGTTATAATTGATGTACATAATATACAAATTAAGGTATTTTAATAGTTTTTTAAATGTTATTTTGTATGTTATTTTGCATGTTATTTTGTATGTTTTTAATGTTATTTTGTACTTTTTTTATTTATTACCCATTTGATATGCTGATAAGTATTGTGTGTATATTGTTCGTAAATTATTTTTTTTTATTGTTAGAGTTTCTATATTATTTGTTTGCTTATTATGCTACTTAATATTATATATAAATGTATTTCTCATTTTAAATTGTTTTTTAATATAAGATAATTAAATTTTTTATTATTTGTATAGTGTACTGTTATTAGTAGATCGCTTTTTAGTTTAAAATAATAGGATTTTGTAGATGTTTTTTATGCGAATGGTCGTAGCATGTTTAAAAGGCATGTATCTTTTTTTTTAGTTAGTTTAGTGTATGTTAAATTTAAATGTGAAAGACAACGCAAGAAAATATCGTTTTATTAATAAGAAATATTTATTTTAATAGAAATATTATGTAATATATTTTTTTATTAATAATTAATATTGTTATGCATTGTTTTTCATAGATTTTATATTGTTCTTTCCAATTGCTTTATTAATATTCAAATTTCCAGGTTTGTAATATTTTGTTACAATTGACTTAATATTTATAATTATTTATTGCAATGAAAGAACAAATATGTAGAATACAATATACAAGATTTTTCGTGTATGATAGTACAATTGGGGAAAGAATGATTCTATATGGAAAAATAAAAAAGAATAAATTTTTTGTATGAGATTTTGTCTCAAAGAAAAACAACTTTAAATATTTATCTTGTGCATAAGTATTTAACTATATCTGGATTCAGTTGATTTCACTATATATTGTATATTACGTACATTGCCAATAGCAAAATTTTTTTTATCAATTCTAATTTATTTCTCAGTCTCTATCCTTCTATTGATATGATTACATGTTGCAATCGGGAATATGATTTTTGCATTAGATCTATGTAATATTTTTGCAGTTGCTAATTATCATCAAGATCAATTCTAATTGTCGGCTTTCTAGTATTAGTTATTCAATAAGTAGAATGAATGCTCATAAAATATTCTTTTGAATGTGAGTTTTCAGCGATAAATCAGTTACATCAGGTAATAACCAAGAATCTGGAAGAAACAATATAAAATATGTACAAAAACAGTATAATCCAGACATATTCAAATGCTCGCATGCAAATCGGACAAAAATTTTCTTAAAAACAAAATTTTATATAAAAAAATTTGTATTCCATATTCCCAATTTATTTTTACATGTGTGAAATCATTTCTGTTCCGGCTGTCACTATCAATTATGGCACATACAGTGTACATGTATTGTTTTAATATATCATATATCATAATATCCAATTATATAAGTATTAATGCATTGTATTCATTCTATTAATCTTTCAGGGTGGTTCAGGAAAAAAATAACTTCGAAAAATAAACTACGCTAGTGCAGTGCAAGTACTGGTGATTAAAAAGATGGGATATGCAAATGCAAAAAAGCGAATGCAGCATTACTATATAGGTATACATAGCATACTTTGCTACTCAGAAGACTAATATAAAGTGAAAATATTACGGATAATGTTTATTGTAAAAAAATATCATATTTTATTATGTGGAGAAAATATAAATAATTAAACTCGTAGTAATTAAATGAAAAATCTCTTGAGATACTTGCATATGTGATGGTTATATAATTTATAATTACAGATAGCTATACATGATGTAAAAGTTATCAAAATTGTACGTTATACATTACTGATATTAATTGTTTATAGAATCTATAAACTATAACAATTTATAAATTTTAATTATGTTATGAGACTTATAAGAACGTAACGCTTAAAGGATGTTCTTACAACTTAAAAAACAATTGTATAATTAATGAATGAATTCCATGACTTCATGATTCATTATTTGTATTATGATATTGATTCTGATATTATTTCTGAGTCACAGTTAGTGTTTATTGTCTTTTTTATTAGACGCATGGACCAGAAATTTATATATATATATATATATATATATATAATACACACATATT